TATTGTATTTTTTATATATTTCAATTATTTTATAAGTCATTTCTATCAAATGTACAAAAAAAAAGTTCCACTAAAATTATCTTTGAAAATGGTTGAAAAACGTTTTTAAATTTGGAATTTTTTGAGAGATGCAAACATAAATATTGGAAGAGATTTAATTGAGTATTTCAAGAGATATCAATATTGACCTCACTCAACTTCCTCCGTTTATTGATTATATTTTGGATTCGTTTGGTAAATCTATTTAGAAATATATTTTTTGTTTCGAAATATTGAAAAATTGATAATTTATGAAAGCACATTTTACATACGATATGAAATGATTAAAACAAAGAAAGGAGGAAGAGAGGAATAGCAGGAAAGAGAGAAAAAGCGAGGGAGAAAGAAAGATAAAAAGAGGAAGAATCTCCAAGTACTGGAACAATGGATGCAAAAGTGGTGGACAGTTCCTGACCAAATGACCCTTAAGGAATTCCGAAGGTCATTAGGACAGAAAGAGAAAACATGCACATATATGGATGATAAAGGTGAATAGGATCAAACGATGCTTCAGGAACTTTCCGTTACGATCAAGCGCTCATATTCATTTATGGCATTTATTGATTAATTTAATGATAGAAGTATTCAAATTATTTAGCGCATAAAGATTCCACAAATAAGATAGCACCGAAAATAGTAATTTCAATAAATTAAATTGGAAATATCAGCACAAATAATCATAATCATTTACTGAATTATACAAAATATTGGTAGTAAATCATGCAGAAAAAAAAGAAAGGAAAATAGTGATAAATGAAGACAATACTGATAAATTAGGCGGAAAAAAAAATTAGTAATAACTGAGAGAAGAAAGATAGCCGTTGAAATGTTTAATGATTAATATATTAACTGATAACGACTAATTAAAATCTGGAATTTTTTTTCGGCAGAATGGATAGAAAGATTTTTCAAAACAAAAATTAGAAAAAAAAAAGCTTAAGACGTTGAAACAATTAAAGTAGTAGCCAATAGAATGTGCTGCACAGATGGAAACAATTTTACTATCTGTCTGTCTGTCTGTGTGTGTGTATGTGTGTGTATATGTGTATGTGTGTATGTGTGTGTGTGCGCATGTGTCGGTCAGTCTGTTTGTCTGCAAATTACAATAATATTTTCAATTGATAAATATAAAAATGTTGAAAATCTAAATAAATTCAAATGTTTGGTAAAAGATATGAAGAAAATGTAGTAGGATGAACAGGTAGAAATTGTATGATGGAAAAGGGTCAAATTATTTGCACAGATGAAAAAAAGAAAAAGAAAAGGAAAGAGAGCGAAAGAGAAAGAAAGAGAGAGAGAGAAAGAGAGAGAGAGAGTGCTATCTTAACTGTGTGACACAAACAATATTTACGACTACTACAACTGTGATATAAAGGCTTGTAAGCGACAAGCCGGACGAACGACGATGCTGGTCAACGATGACCTTCAAATACTGCAATAATACATTCATAGAAATACACATACACACATACACACATACACATACATACACATACACGCAGACAGACACATACAACGACATACACAATAAACATATATTTAAACACATCGATCCGTAAATTTAGAAGCAAAAAGAAAAAAGGACCAATTGATTCATGAAAGACAAAATAATCCATGCTTGATTCCTGTCCTGCCCATTCACCTATAATATAGGTGAGCTTCTCGAATTTCAAACCGTAATATCATTATTTTCACCCCTATCACCTCTATCACCTCTATCACAATCATCACCACCACTACTACTACCTTTACCACTACCATCTTTACCACTTTCATCATCTTCTTAACCACCATTACAATCATCAATTCCATCTTCCATACTATTTCGTATCTTATCTGTTGACCACATACATATCAATGAGCAATCTATTTTGGTTATCCATACTTTATACCTTAAATCTTTCATTCCAATCTGTCGCATATTTTCCACTTCAACACTCACTTCTATCAAAGTAAAAGCGGAGAAAAAAAAAAANNGGAGGAAAAAAAGAAAAGGAAAAAAAGTGGGTGACCGAATTACCCAATGTTTAAGGTCTATTAAACTTCCAAAAAAATATATATATGTATAGAATGTAAAATATATTCAATCACAAGTGGAACATCATGAAATGTTGACAAATTTTAAACCAAAAAAAGAGAGAGAGAGGAATAATATATTATAGGAAGTAGATATTATAAGGTTGAGAAAAGATGAAAGTTCTACTTCATCTGATTGAATATTTGTTATGATGATGAGGATGTATACGAAATGATTAACATTTTAATGAATTGATGATATGTTGCTATCAATTAAATTACCGATCAGCTAATATCAGTTAATATTACAATATGTGAGATAATTTATTTAAGCGTTTCATTCTTGAAAAAGCCTTTTTAGAAATAGGTAATGATATGAGAATAATAAAGAGAAGGTTTTTTTTTTTTCCTCTTAAATTTATGAAAAGAGAAGAGAAAGGAGAAAAGGATAAAGATTAAAAACATTTCAAAATGAATACATATTTCATTTTACAAAGTTAGAATTCACTAATTTTGAGATTATTTTCATAAATTAGTCATATCAGTCTATAAGTTCAATATAATTACTTATACTTAACTATTTTATTGTCAAGTATTTCCATCATTCAATTATATATA